AACTATTCGAGACATTTGAGGATCATCGGGATATATACCTCATTATGGAACTATGCACAGGAGGTAATAATATTATCATACTACTACTCCTTAACGTAAGTGTATTAATGTATTTTAGGTGAACTCTTTGATAGGATCATTGAAGTTGGACATTTCACAGAAGTCCAGGCGGCTATCATCATGCAGCAGATTTTGCGGGCAATCTACTACATGCACGAAAACCATATAATGCATCGAGACTTGAAACCGGAAAATTTCCTTTTTTCTACTAAAGAACCTCTCGAGAAGTCCTGCTTGAAGATAATAGACTTTGGACTTAGCACGAAATTCGGCAAAGACGATATAATGACGACTAAAGCGGGCACTCCGTATTATGTTGCCCCTCAAGTACTCGCTGGAAAGTATGATGAATCTTGTGACCTTTGGAGTTGCGGTGTTATAATGTAAGCCGTTATGATGACAGGTTTCTGTGATCTTTTATATACATCCATTTCATATATGATTGATTCTATATGATTATGTTCTTATTTTATTAATATAGAGAATATATGCAGTGTAAGAAAATATGCACGTAGTGGTTTATATGTGTAGGGGTAACATTCGTGGCAATTCTGGGGAAAATTGAGGAAATTTTGAGGAAAATTGAGGAAATTTTGAGGAAAATTGAGGAAAATTGAGGAAATTTTGAGGAAAATTGAGGAAATTCTCATTGGTTTTTCTACACTTCTACCCGAACTCGTATATAAACTTGTATAATTAGTGAGAAACCTTGTGAACTCAGCTGAGGGAAGCGAACATATATTCCTCCACCACTGAATGGCGTATGGAAATATAATGAGATTTGATATCATCATTTATCTATAAAATATATATAATACACGTTTTATCTAATAGTAAATTATACTTATATTTCCGCGTGCGGTATGGTTTTTTACTAGGTATATTTTATTATGTGGTTATCCTCCTTTTTACGGCGAGACTGACGCTGATGTCCTCACTAAAGTTCGGCTTGGCAACTATACTTTTAACGCTAGTGATTGGAAAGGCATCTCTGAAGATGCTAAGGATCTCATACGGAAGTTGTTGAAGATAAACCCTCGAGATCGTTACACTGGTGAGAACTACTCCAAATGTTAAGTGTAATTCTTCTCCTGTCTAGCCGAACAAGCTCTGAACCACCTATGGG